GATCCTTTGATGAGAATTCTGGGGTGCTGGTGGTTGATGCCGGTGTGATTTTGGAGGTTGCTGATAAATATCTTGCGGAGAGAAATCATATTTTCCCCCTTGATCTCGGGGCCAAGGGCTCGTGCCATATTGGGGGCAACGTTGCGGCCAATGCGGGTGGTCTACGATTGCTACGTTATGGAAGTTTACATGGTAATGTGCTGGGGATAGAAGCCGTACTTCCCGATGGGACATTTATCGATGACTTGTCCACGTTGAGGAAGAACAATACGGGATACGATTTGAAGCAACTTTTCATTGGTAGTGAGGGGACCATTGGCATTATAACTGGCGTTTCTATAATTTGCCCCCGGCGGCCTAAGGCAATCAATGTGGCCTTCTTTGGCATTGAGAGTTACGAACAAGCTCTCAAGGCTTTCTTGGAGGCCAAGGGCCAGTTGTCAGAAATCCTATCTGCATTCGAATTAATGGATGGGCGCAGTCAGGACATGGTGCATAAGGTCACTGGATTAAAGAAGCCTTTGGAGGGATCATACCCCTTCTACTGTCTCGTAGAAACGAGCGGCTCGAACGGTGAACATGACAATGAGAAACTGGAAGGGTTTTTGGAGCATGTTATGGATGAATCTATTGTGGCAGATGGGGTGCTGGCTCAGGATGAAACACAGGCACAGACACTCTGGCGGTGGCGAGAAGGGATTACTGAGGCCTTGAGTCATTTGGGAGGAACATATAAATATGACGTCTCCATACCGCTAGCTGAGCTTTACCAGCTAGTTGATGACACGAGAGACCGATTGACCAAGGCCGGTTTAGTAGGGGACGACGACAGCTACCCAGTTCGCGAAGTGTTGGGATACGGCCACATGGGGGATTCGAATCTGCATCTCAACGTCGCGGTCCGGAAATATAACAAGGACGTTGAGAAGATGATCGAGCCCTGGGTCTACGAGTGGATTGCCAAGCGGAATGGCAGTATCAGTGCAGAGCATGGCCTGGGCATCGCGAAGAGGGAATTCATCGGCTACAGCAAGAGTGAGACGATGATTAAGCTGATGGCACAGCTGAAAAAACTTTACGACCCCGTAAGTCTTTTGTCCAGATATTCCCCTTCCCATCATGTATTTTACCGAGCGCTAACAATTACATAGAACGGAATCATGAACCCTTATAAGTACATCTAACCCTTCATTTTGGAATTGCACTTTGTTTTCAGAATTGCTATAGAGAAGAAACCCAACGGCTTTCAGAATTGGTGCTGGTCTGTATTTATAGTGCTCCCTTTAGCGCGAGATCTTAGGATGGAGCTCAAAGGATGAGGGCCAGGAAATGTTGGATTATCGTTCATTTTTGGATAGGGGTTGATTCTCAATTTTTGCCAAGAACCTGGTTTGACATATATATTCCTTAAGATCTATCCGATCACAGAGACTCATTTTCTTGTTGATATTCCAATTGTTACGGAGTGCAGAGTTTTAGACGCTCTCGAAGACGCCGAGTGCTTCGACAACAGAAGGGGGGTCTTGGCACACGTGACCTAGCATCGATCGCATGCCAAAAAAGCTAATTCTAAATGGGCTAGCGCCAAGGGTTGCTAGAGGCAACGGATGTTTACACCGCAAAAAACTCTTAAAGAGTATTGACTGGAGCATCATGGACCATGGTTGAATCTTAAAGAAATGGAACAACTGTTTCAACATAGGATATTACTACTTATTCTTAGACACCCCTTGATGACTCTGTCCACTCTTACCTTACCCTGTTGAGCGAATTGCGGACTCTCTCCCATCGCGGTTCCACAGTTGTTTCTTGGATCCCATCTGCAGTCCTCGCAAACGCGACGGGACCACCTGCAAACAAACAGAGAGCACCATCATTTCACAATATTTTTAAAGTTCAGCCAGTGGCCAAGGGTCAGAAATGGCTGACGAAGGAGCTCTGGCAAATGGCTATCAAATGCTCGAGGAACTGGGGAGTGAGTTCAAAACCAGATTCCACCCTCCAATTGATTGATCTTTGGTACTAATTGTTTCTGTTGTGTTTCATTCCAGGTGGCAGCTTCGGGACAGTGTATAAAGCCATCGAAAAGGACACGGGAGAAATCGTAGCCATAAAGCACGTATGTTGCTGCTCTGGAGTTGGTGGGATGAGGACTTGGATGATGAATCAATCATACCTAATGAATTTTGATTCCCTTCCAGATCGATCTCGAATCTAGCGAAGATGATATCCAAGAAATCCAACAGGAGATTTCAGTGCTCGCAACATGCGCAAGCCCTTACGTGACACAATATCGGACAAGTTTCCTCAGAGGTTACAAACTATGGATTGTAATGGAGTATCTGGGTGGAGGGTCTTGTTTGGATCTGGTAACTATTAGCTCTTACGTGTCAGTTTGATCTCTTTCGATATGCTAAGTAGGAAATTTTCATTTTAGCTTAGACCTGGGGTATTCAACGAGGCACATATCGCTATCATCTGTCAACAATTACTATTAGGGTTGGATTATCTTCACCAAGAGGGGAAAATTCACCGAGACGTCAAAGCCGCCAATGTTCTTTTGTCGCAATCTGGCAAAGTGAAACTGGCGGATTTTGGTGTTGCGGCCCAACTAACGAACATTAAATCACAGCGCAATACCTTCGTAGGCACCCCTTTCTGGATGGCCCCAGAAGTAATCCAGCAGTCAGGATACGATTTCAAAGCGGATATCTGGTCGTTGGGCATTACGGCAATAGAAATGGCTCAAGGGGAACCACCAAATGCTAGTACGCACCCAATGAAGGCTCTCTTTTTGATTCCGAAGGCGCCTGCTCCCAGACTGGAAGGGAGTAATTACAGCCAAAATTTTAAGGATTTTGTGGCTCAGTGCTTGATTAAGGATCCCGATCGGCGAGCGACGGCTAAAGAGCTTCTACGACACAAGTTTATTCGCAATGCAGGTAAAATCGAGGCCTTGCAGGAGTTAATTCAACGTCGGCAAGAATGGGAGGCAAGCAAAGGCACATCGGACAACATAAAATACTACGAGGAGTCTATGTATGTTCCATACCTGAGCTATGTCTTCCTCCAGAAAATTTGCTAATGAAATATAGGGCTACCATTAATCACAAAGAGGATGAGGATGGATGGGTATTTGACACTGTGAAGCCTGGGACCGTGTCCGCTTCGCGTGACACACAAAAACGACTGAAGATAACCGACCTACCATTACAGGAAGAGGAAAATCTGGAAGAGCCTGTGGAGATGCTGAAGAAAATGGAACTTACAAGACCATCATCCAGTGCCTCAAATTCCAACAAACCAGTGGCCAACTCCACTGTACGGCGGTCGGCACCATCTGGAGAGCATTCCCCCTCCGTTAAGGGACCCAATACGAAGCGGCGATTCAGTGGAGTAAAGCAACCACTTGGGTTAAATTTGAGCTTTGGAAACAGCCCCTCTACAGTTAGGCAATTTCGGCGAGTATCAGACAAACAAGCGGACTCGCTGAATGAAAATGCTGGATATCTCCCCGGAATGGATGAGAATTTGGCTCCAAAGAAATTAGCTTTGGAAACAAGTAGCAAAGAAGCTATACTGGGCCGTCGAATATATACCAAATCCATTGGACTTTCCTGTCAGGAGGTCCTTTCAACGACATGGGGCCAGGAGAAGAGAGAGGCGATATCTCGACTCGCCGAAGCGTGGAGCGATCTGGAAATGATTGACCCGGAGGGACTGTACCATATTGTGAAATTGTCTTGTGATAAAATGCAAGGGTGAGCCTTAACAATTACCCACCTCCCCTAGATTTATGTAAGTGGATGCCACTCTTACTGACCGATCCGTTTTGCTTTCCCTTTAGTGACCCAAAACTTTCCACTCTCATGGCCAAACCAACAGCTCAATTCCCTCAAAAACCAAAGCTGGTTCTTGCGCAAAACAACCCTCATCTGAAAAGCCATCGACGGCGGCAATCAGAGCAGGCCCATGCTGACGAAAATTGGTCTGGAGCGGGCTTGAACTTGCCGGGACAACCTGTTTTCGGAATGGAGCATACCGCACAACTTGCAGATGTTCTCTATGATCGATGGACAGCCGGACTTCGCAATCGATGGCGAGCTGTATAGTAATTTCACATGTACAATATTCACACATATCCCGATTAAATTCCCGAGACCAGAAAATTTGTGATATTATCGATTTTTCTTGCTGTTTGCATCCACTCCTGTCCATAGAATAGATTTCTTCGATTCTTAGACAGAGTTTGCAGAGTGTAACAATTTTTTGTCACTTTCCCTCCTTCTTTCTTTATTTCTTCCTTCCTTTCTTTCCTTCTATCAATTTACCCAACATGACCTTATTTTCTCAAAAATCATCGGGTGTTACTGCCATCTTGTTCATATAGCATTTCCCGGTTCATATCATCCCCATTCTACTCCACGACCTTGCAATGGTGCATGAGGTAATAGCCCAAACATAATGTTTTGGTTTTGCTCTTTGTTTTTTCATATCCAGCTTTGGCTATCTGTGCATGTACACTGAGAGCATTGCATTCTGTTCTAACCCTATGAGCATCAGCCGTCGTACTTCTACGCACATGTGTTGTTTGATGATATTATTTTCGTCCTCGCAGCTCCCTAAAAAGCTTCTCCCCTTCAACTTTTTGATACTCTGTTGCATGAGTTTGTCCCGCTAATTAATATCCATATGATTGGGAGCCACGACTTTAATCAACGTGGAAAACAGCGTGGGAGGTGGAATATGATTGGGTCTACAGTTCGCAAACTATGACCGTACGTTATGATGATCACAAAAAAGGGAAAGGGAAAGTGTTTGAGCTCAAAGGCAACATTCACGTAGCCGAAACTGTGTTCGGAGGTCCGCTTCTTCATGAACACGCCTTGCCAAAGGGGGAAAATGGAAGCAGACCAGAAGAAAAAAGGGAATGAGAATGTCCAACTTGTAAATAAGAATAGTATGTCAATGTAAAATTCACATGCTCGATAATTCATTCCTTAGTTCCTCTTAGGTCTAAACACTGCAACGGGACCATCCCTTGCCACGAGGAAAATGTCTAGAAGCTGATACTCATTGGTCCTCCGTCTCCCTTCATGCTTATGGTTAGGATTACCCGCGCCCACCCCTTTGCTGCCGGGTGAAAGCCGCATATCATAAGAAAATAGCAAACGTGCAAGGGCATGGGTAAGCTCTAAATATGCAAGCCGTTTCCCCGCACAGCCACGCGGGCCAATGCTGAAGGTGGTAAAAGCAGATCGGGGGGCCGCGACCCTGCTTTCTGAACACACATCGCCGTCCGGAGCGACCGGATCAACAATCCAGTGCTCCTGTAGATAAGAGTATGGATTCGGGTAATACTCCTCGTTATGGTTAATGGTGTATGGGGGTGTATTGATGGTAGTTCCAGCAAGGGTGATTATAAATGATGATGCCTCCAGAGAGAACCTGGCGGGATAAGTGACTTGGCATCGGTGTGGTGAGCGCAAACCCTCGTCAATGCATGCGCGGAGATACTGTAGGCTGTTCAATGCCTTTCCGTAGATTTGCTCGGGAGAGGTACAGGCCGCACGAATGGTGGCTGTCCAGTTTAGTGAGAACTTCCTCATTGTGAAGGAGGTGGAAAATAATGCCAGAAAGAACTATTGCTGTGGTGTTTGAACCGGTAGCACCTAAATGAGAACGCTCGGGACAGAAGTTCGCCAACGGTGAAGCCCTTCCCAGTCTGAGGGTCTCTGGCTTTGAGAAGATAATGAGTTAAATCTTTTCTGGTGACCCTTCTGCATAATCCATTGATTGTTATCGAAGTGTATATATGCGCTCAATGGTTTTGTGACAACATAGTTATTTGCATTCTTCGCCGTCAGCGGTTCGCCAAGAACTCACTTGTTTATGCTGCTCAGAATAATAGTTGACCTTCCTCTGCGAGCAGACGATAAGATTTCTGAGAATGCAATGATTGATTACAGGGGATGCGCCCAGCTCTCAAACACGCGTATTAGCGAACATATTTGACCATCATATTGTCCGTGTCCCGCATTCTGGAGCGGGTTTCAAGCCCAATTCGATTCCGCGTGGCTGCCATGATCTAATAACTACGTCCCTAGGAGGAGCAGGGAGCGCTCGAAATCTAGCAGAGCGGACGATATTGCTGAATGGCTGACAGATTTTGCTTCCGAGCTGGGGATAGACAAGGACAATATTGGTGCACCGGGGGAGGAATGCTTCACTGCACCTGTTGGGAGTTAACAGGATGAGGCAGCGTTTAGCCTTGTCGAAGATATGAACTGCTGGCTCAACAAACGCTCCGCTCTGTGCCTTAGTGTTTACTCACTTGTGCTTTGCAACGTTGATCCCTGTCTTCGAAATATCAAGCTGATGGAAGACAAGTTGACATGCTCGATTGATTGCTACCACGCGAGCCTTTTTTGCTGATTTTAGAGACTCCAGGAGCATCATGCGTCAGCGGTGATGCCAGAGATGGCAAGATACCTCTTCAAGCTAATCCAAAGGTAGCAGGATTCATAGAAGGAGATTCTAATCTTAAAAGTGCGGTGCCAGTTTTGACCGTGAAATCAGCAAGTCAGTTCCCACAGCCGCATTTTCGGGTTTGTTTTTTCCCCCTCTTCTTTTCCCTTTTCCTTCGTTTTCTTTATTTCTTTTGCATGGACTGCTAACTGTCATCTAGCAAACTTCAAAGGGCATTGGCATTCCAGTTGGTGCTAATTTCTGGGAGCCCTCACCTTTTAAACCGTGGCTATGTTGGAAAATTTTGGTTGCCTACCGACTGCCGGATCTGTCGTCCCTTTCCCTTCTGTCGGATTCGCTTGACGATCAAACCGCTATCGCTTCAAAACTCAATACCATGGATGGGATTTCTGATCTATATTAGTATCAATGCGGTTTTTAGGCATCTGACTGGTAGATCAGGAAAAGATGCATCGTAACCGAACAGCAGCAAGGTTGCGAGTCTTTGATTCAACAGATAGTTATACAGCGCTAAGGGTGACAAACACATCACTCCACCGCACTGCAGACAGCTTGAAGTCAATGAGTAAGAGATAAAATTTATGGCATTGATTCGGTTAGATAATTGGTTCCATCCCACACGCTGGATCTGTATTCTTTGGCAACAACGACAATGATAGCTACCTTTGGTGATAATATCCACTGGTGTAGGCTGGGGTAACTGAGCATTAAGCCCTTTATTCCTAGTTATGAGGATGTTGAGAATGTTGCAAGAGGGTTCAGGCGGTTAAACCCGTCGAGGTAATCGGGGGTGGAGAACATCTTCTTTGCTATTAAGCTTCCAAACAAACCAACCAACTTTTCCGGTTGCGATATGATTTGGAACATTCTGTTGCACGGTTGAGAAAAGTGAAAAAGGGGTAAAAGAGGGGGAGAAAGGAGGGCAGATGTGGACTCCGCTATTCAATCATGACATCAATGACTAGGTCCCTAGGTTGGTATACGAGAAGAATTGAGAGCAGGCAGTTGATGACTCAAATAGTCCCCACACCCCTGCCAATGCCTTGAAGTTGAGTTAAACCTTCAAGATCTTTTGCCGCGGTGAGATATAACTACCCGTTTGCATACTTCTCTTTCTAATAGGCACTGAGGCGTATCCATTCATATCAAACGCGAACTGGTCATCTTCATATGGTACAAAAAGGACTTAAAGGGATTGCCAATTACTCGATATAATCACCCAAAAAATGTCTTTCACCATCGAGATCGTCACATCCCCCTCAGATGCGCCAGTACTCGGCAAGATCAAATCCGACGCTTTCGAAACCAGCACATTGACCCGCTATGCATTATGCTGGGCAGGCACACCGAGAGAAACAGTCGAGAAATGGTATACGGACCGCGAGGAACAAGATCTTCAGGACCCGAACCAATACACAATTATTTCAGTTCTGGCGGATCCGGATACGAATGGAGTCACTGTTAATAACTCCGGCTCGGGCTCCGGTTCGGTAACAGGCCATCGTAATAATAATAATAGAAATATGAAAACCAGTAATACTACGTGTAGAAATCGAACTGTGGCCTCTTGGGCACGGTTTGGGATCCCGCATGCCAAGCCGAAGCAGGGAAATGGCCAGATGGAGGAGCCGGAGTATAAGAAGCTCAAGCAGCATCTCATACAGAATCCACCGACGGGATGCCATCCGGGTATCTACGCTGCGTTTCGACGAGGGATACTTGAGGCGCGGGAAAGGTATTTGGATGAAGAGAAGGATTACGGTATGTATAGCACTACTATGCTTGAAGTGAAAAGAGGAGTGATCGGACGGCCATCCCAATTTATACCATGTGTCTTTTTAACCAGATAACTTATTTCCTAACATGAATTGCGCAGTTCTTGAAATTCTCGCCACGAGCCCCGCGTTTGAGCGGCAGGGTCATGCTTCTCGGCTGCTGAAATGGGGTATTGAGAAGGCGGAGGCTGACGGGGCGAGAATCCTCCTCGAAGCCACACCTGCTGGACTGCCCCTTTATCAGCGACTGGGATGGAATGTGGTGGACGAGATGCGAATAAAACTGGCGGATCATGGAGTCGACGCAGAAGGAGATGGGGATGGATGTGCGGTGCTGTATATTATGATTAGAGAACCGCAGGGGAATTCGAATACAAGCTGCGGAATTGATTAGAGGCCTTTTATCATTAGTAGAATTGAAATTGAACTTTCAGATGACATAGTTACAGGTGTAAAAAGTAAAGTTAGAGATGTGAGCAAATGCATATGAACCAGTATGCTCGATATTAGGCCGAAAAATATTTGCCTCTTATTAAATAAAATGCCTGCATATTTGTTTAGATCGGGCTGTCTTTCCGGAGATGCGAGCAGATGTTGGCATTTTCGACATTATTCTATGGTACTCTTTCGTCGAAAGAACTGGAATTCCTTGCAAGAATTATATCTGACGGAATGCGGCTGCAAGAGTTAACGAATAGTTGCGTCACTCCCCTGTTGATCATTAACACAGATCCACATATGCAAATACATAGTTACAATCGCCCAGCAGGGAGAAGCAGGTATGAATGCCGGAGACAAAACAATGAAGATATGGTAACTGTCAGCTAAAACAGTCAGAACAACCAATATCCTCCAACGAAGCTCTTCTTTGTTGCGGGCTGAAGCTCTGGGCAATCTGTGGGTGGGAACTGGGTCCAACATGAAGCATCCAACATTGCTCCATAATCAAACGGCGTTTCAGGAGCTGGAAATTGGACTTCGGGACATTTTCAGCATCACTGAAGAAAATGAGGTTCCCGGGGTGGGTCAGGCTGCTCCCTCAACTGACCCTGCATAGATTCTCTTCTTGAACCCCTCTGGAGTGTAGGAATTGATCTGATCTTGGCTCGATGTTTTCAAGGATTAGAGCATCTCACGTGACGTGTTTGTACCCCTGCGCTAAACCCGAAGCGGCAGGGCCAAACCTTGGTCACTGGATTTGGCCGCGTCTTGGCGATGCGGCTCAGATGGTGTGGGTGTTTAGTGTTTGTTTCTTGTTTCTCCTGAACTCCTGAATTTACGATTGAGATCATCAGTTCAACAGTCATTCTCCATATTAATTGATGCTATTATTCCAATTCGAGTGGGTGACGGGCTGGTTTTTTTGTTTCCCTGGCGTGTTTTGTTTTCTTCTTATCTTCGTTCCGCCCATGTCTATCCTGAAGTGATGGCCTGTTTCTGTTATTCTTTACTCTAATATATCACCACACTCGTTCTATATGCTTTCAATCTCTGGCTGTTGGATGGTTATCTAAAACAAAAAAAAAAAGTATCCAAATAATCTTAATCCAGGGAACCATGGATAGAACCTCGATCATTCCAACCCCTGATCCTCGCCCGGATGAACATGCAAGCTCATCGTCATTCGAAAACCCTCAACAGGCGAAGAGAGCTTCTCTCCCTCCACGTCCAAATGTCACTGCTCGTCACGCAAAACGGCTCACCTTAAATTTTCCCATTACTGCTTCTGCATGCATTGCCTCTCATCCCGCCTCTAGCCAAGATTCGCCTGCCTCGAGTATCATGAGCTCAGCAACACAATCATCCCTCATCTCATCACCTGATCACTCAATTGCGTCCAGCCAAACAGATGCAAACAATAGCAGTTATGACTTTCTCACTGTATTGGCCGCTCAAGAACGGAAAGTGCTGGAGCTGAGAGAAGAACTACAAAAAGCAGAGGCAGAATTAGTTTCACTCAAATGCCAGTGGTCCCTGGTAGAGAAGGATAGGCGAAAAGCGGAGATAATCCATCGCACATATCTCTTAAAACAACTCAAATACGGCGAACAGAGTGTTGTGGATGGATCGAAATTCCCCAATTCGGACCATACAACTCTAGTTCCGAACCACGTGAAGACGGGTCGTGAATTGGAGAGAAGGAATAGCTACTGGAACTCACAATCTTCATCTCCGGAGCACACCCCCAGCACGACCACATCCGCGAAAGGTAGAACAGTTTTCCAGGGTTCCAAACACACCAGGACCCTCTCTTTACTTTCAACTAGCACGAATTCCGAATTCAAACTCCCATTTCCTGAGCTGAAAGATTCGGGGGTTCCTGAACAGACAACAATGTCGAGATCATCAAGACACCCTAGGTCTGCGACTTTACCATCCGTCAAGCGCAGCGATAACAGCAACCCTGCGAACGAAGGGAACTTTACAGAAGCTAGTGAAGAACATAAAGTGCAGTGGCGCCGCACTCTGCCACCGATTGCTCGAGATGTTACGGCTGACGCCCTTATGAAAACTGGTCGGCA